TGTCTCCCCCTGAGATTTACGCTATCTTGTAATTAAATATCAAAGTTATAATACAAATATGTTATATATTTATATACCAAATATTTAATACAAATATAATAAATATTAATATTTTGTTCAATACTTTCACATGATAATCGTTGACACGCATCTCACAACACATAAAACATGTAGAGGAAAAACTACCACCGTCAAATATCAACAGACGCTTACAAAATAAAGAATTCATAGTACAACAACTTATAAGATCTCGATCATATACATAGCAAGGCAGGGCTGGCCCTGGGCATGTTTGCCCAGGGCCCCCAAAATTGGGGGCCCCAATTAATAAAAGAATTTATATATACTATACAGTCGTAGCAGCCTGCTGCCTTGTATAGTATTTATAACTTTATGAGAAAATTGTAATTTATGCCCCTCCATAATATGTCAATTGTCAATGTCACCCTTGAATTATTAGTGGTGTAAATGTTGCCCCTCAATTTTCAAAACGATACATATATTGTCCATCCCAAGTGAAAATTGAGGGACAATTTTTACACTGGGGGGGGGGGGGAATATATGTACCGTTTTAAAAATTTAGGGGCAACATTTACACCACTAATAATTCAGGAGTGACATTGATAATTGACATATTATAGCATAAATTACAATTTTTCCTAACTTTATTTATACAATTGGGCCGCCAAAAATTGGGGCCTAATTATTTATATATATATATATATATATATATATATATATATATATATATATAGGAATATATTCAAATACAAACAGTTCTTAAAATAAAAACAGTGCGGATTCATCTGGGTCGTTAGTTTTTGATATTGGATGTACAGGATTTGTTTTTGATTAATTATAGTATTTGGTATTTGAATTGCCGCGTGACATATTTTAAGGGGGGTATTTTTGCGATTTTGTGTGGGAGGGGGACGGTTCAGTTGTATTAGAAGTTTACTAGCCAACGGTTTTCTCGGGCTCTCTCTCTCTCTCTCGTCACTCTCGCGTTTCAGTGTAGTCCAGACTCCAGAGCTCTCTTCCACGCCGTTCAACCGCGCAGTATTCATCAGCAGCCGGAGATGGTCGCAGGGAGGGGTCGCGGTGGTGCCAAGCGCCGGGGAACACCGTCTGATGGCGTAGGTCGAGGTAACAATGATCGCACTTTTCCGTTCCGTTTTTTTTTTTTTTTTTTTTTTTTTTGCATGTGGGGGGGTGGTTTGCATGTGGGGTTCCAGCCCAGGTGGGGTGGTTTGCGATTGTTGGGGTTCTGGTTTGGGGGGTTAACGACGGGGTGGGGATGTGGGCGGCGCCGGCACTACCGGTAGGGTTTTTGTTTTTTTTTTTTTTTTTTTTTTTTTAATAAACTTTTTACGGTGGGGGGCTTATTCTGAGCGGAAATTAGGCCCTAATTTCGGTTCCCCTGTTTTCCAGTGTGTGGTATTTGGCGCTGTGGGGGTGTTAGTGGGCGGTAATCTTAGATTAATGAAGTAGGGATGTCTTTCTTAATTTGTTATGGCATGCACTGATTTGTGAGAGGAAGCATGTTACCTTGTAGTTGTGTTTGTAGAATTTTGATATTGTTAACTCGTAGCACAGTGATACTAAATTGAGAAATTGATGGGTTGTGTGTGGTATTGTGTTGATCAAAGGAAGTATGTTTGTAGAATTTTGCTAGTGTGGACTGTTATTAGAGTGCTATTAAATTGAGTAATTGTGGGTGTTGTGTACTCTTATTACGGTGGTATTTAATTGAGAATCCTGATTCGGGAAAGGAATCATGTTACCTTGTTTGTAGAATTTTGCTAGTGTGGACTGTTATTAGAGTGCTATTAAATTGAGTAATTGTGGGTTTGTGTGTGGGATGGTGTTGATCAAATAAGGTGCACTTGCGCCTTATTTTTGTGTGCATGCGAGTTAGTGGTTTCGTTATGTGGGTTTCGATCTCTTTTTTTTTTTTTCGTTGGTTCTCTTTTGCCTTTTTACGCTCATTGTTGTCGTGGTTTTTGTTTTTTCTGTCTTGATAGGGTGGTCATGGTAATTTCTGTGGTGGCGATGTCTTGGGTGCGGTTGTGGATGGTGTGGTTTCTGGCGGGGGCATTTCGAATGGGGGTGTTTCTGATTGTGCTTTGCCGGCGGTAACTGTTGAACCTACGCGTGCTTCTCATCCTGCCGATACACCTGTGGTTGCGGGGGTGGTGCGTATAATGTGTTCTTCGTAGTTAGTTATTAGTATATGCACATTGCGTGTGGCTCTTAGTTAATCTGTTTCCGTGTTGAGATGTGTTGTGGTTTCATTTTTTGTCTTCCGTAGGGTGGGGGTGCTGCAGTACAAGCTGGGGACTGTGCTGTTCCTGCGCGCGGTGAATCTGCGATGGCTACACCGGTTCAGCATGGGTTGGTATGTGCTGATTTGGGGTGTGTTGCGGGGTGTGCATGAATTGATTGTGGTGTTTACGGCCATTTTGTGTGGTATCCCACGCTTTGTGTGTTTATTGGTGTTGTTTAATTATCTTATTTCTTTGTGCAGCCATCAATACCTGTGGGGGAGGACATTGGGTGTCGGTCTGCCGGGCCTGTGTGTCAAGCACCCTTGAAACCTTGTCGGGGGGTTTCTCGGGCGCCGATTGGTGTTCCTCCGGGGGTGTCGCGCCTAGATTTCAGCGCTTCTGGTTCCACGAGCTCTATGGCTTTGCCCGATTTGGACAACCCGGATGAGGCGGTGATTTGCAACTGGTTGTTGTGTGCTGCAGATGCGAACATGTTAGTTTGTGAATCTATTTTTTGATATGCATATTCCGTTTCGTATGGGTAGTTCATATGTTTGTTTTGTTTATCTTTGTATGTTTTAGGGACGATATTTTGTTCGATGTTAGTGGTAGGGCAGCGCGGTGGGGGACTTGTTGTCGCTTTCACCTGGGTCATTGGTTGAGGTTGCCGTGGTAGATGCGTGGACGTGTCTTTTGAATTGTCGAGAGCGGTATAGGGCCCCTTCTGCCCCTTCCCGTTTTTTTGCATCCACTTTTTCCACGGTTTGTTTCTACTTCTTACCCATATGGTGTGTTATGTTTGCGTGTTTATGTGGTTTGATTTTGCGTGTGTCGTTGTTGTAGCTTCGTACGGTTGTGGATACCTCTCTTGATCTGGATAAGCGGATTGCTATGTTTAAGGACAGTCTCTATGGGGAGTTTGAGATGACGCCTTACCAGCATATTAATGAGGTGGACATGGTATGTATGGTTTTCAGCTTGTTTCAGTTGTTGATCTGCCATTGGTGGAGTCGTACAATTGTGTAGACTAGTTTTTTCGGTATTTTTCGATTCAAATTTCCAATGCATTAGAATATGTTGGGTCAGTTTATGTCGTTATGTTGTGTTTGTACTTGTTTTTGGTATAGTTTAGCATTTAAAAATGGGAAACTCACTTGTTGTGCCTACTATTGTCCGTGTACTGTTCCAAGCCCCTACTGGATGTTTTGCGTGTACTCATTGTATGTCTTTACCCATTCGTGGTTGGTGTGTGCAGTTTATGTTCCCCATCCTACGGCAAGGCCACTATTTTCTTCTTTGCATTGATTTCCGTAATATCCGGTATGAGATTATTGACAATTCGACGCTTCAGTCCAACAAGCAGTTGAAGTATGGCGATTGTCTGGATGATTTGGTATGGTTTTTGTTGTGACCGAGCTTTTAGTTGCTAATTTTTTTGTTCTTTGTCTTCTTTTTTTATGGTACTCATTTGGTCCTTGGAATTTTGCTGTAGTTGTTCATGCTTATGGAGTTATTTAAATGCATTGATCCGTCGAGGTCTGAGATGTGTGCATTGTTGGATGCGAAGCGCATGCAGATGAGTTGGCGTGATGGCAAGAACAAGATTGACTGTGGCGTGTATGTTATGCGTCATATGGAGAGTTATTTAGGACAGGGAGTTTCTAGATGGAGGTGTGGGCTGACCAAAGGTAACACTGCCCAGCTCAAGAAGCTGAGGTTGAGATACATGAAGGAACTTACAACCTCCGAATTCAATTTACATAAGTGTCGAAATATCTCCAGGGCATATCAGTCTGTGAAGTCTGTCGCAGGGGGTCTGTAGTGTGTCGTTGTTGTGCGGGGTGTATGGAGTTTTAGTTCGTATTTTTTGGCGTTTAGATGGCATCCGGTTTGCAATTTGTAGGCCTGTTGGTGTTATTATTTATAATGGTGGTAGTTTTTTGCGAAGTGTAATTACTTTTGGTGCATGCCGGAACTGGTAGCTGCATTTTACTTATGGGTATTATTATGTTAATTTTTATGGTAGTTTGTTTTTATTATTATTATTTTTTTGGCTGGTGCAGTGTGCAGGGTGTGCACAACGGGTCCCGTCCGTGTGCATTTAGTCGACCTAACAATTCATAAAATTGCATGCGTCACTGGTAGTTTCCATGGGTAGTTTTATATGTAAATGGAATAAATTAGTTTCCATGGGTACACTTTAAATTAGGGTAGTTTAATTTGATTGTGGGGGGTTTATTGTTTATTCAATGGGTGCACATTTGCGTTAAATACTATGCGTTCCTCAATACATTTCAAACATGGTTAAAACTTAATGAGTTTCACTGCTGTAAGTAGTGACTCGGGGGTGGGTAGCGTTTTTGGCCAATTTAAAGAAAACTTTGTGTGCGCAACGATGGTAGACGGTGTGCATAGCTGCGGTCCTTAGTTATTTTGACTATCCTGGGTGGGTGTGCAATAATGGTATAGGGTGTGCATATCTATGAGTCTCGTGTACTTGACTAAGCTGGGGATGCAAGTTGATATTAGATGGTGTGCATAAGAAAACAAATAAAGTAGTTGTATATTGCCATACATGGCTATTAATAAAATATGTGGGTGCGCAAAGATGGTAAACAGTGTGCATATCTGAACAAACTAACTACTAACAATGGGTCTAAATATGAAATTTGACTAGTATTTAATTGAAATTTAAAATGAGGCTGCATTCGTAGTGATGTAAACCATGACGGGCTACTCGTCTGGTAGGGGTTTTCTTTCTGGGCAATTCCTGCTGTCGTGGCCCGGCCGGTCGCAAGTAGCGCATGTCCTCACCTTTTTCTTGTGTTTTTCGGTTGCTTTCTCTTTGTTGCTCTTTAATCTTTTCCCACTACCTTTCTTCTTTGCAACGCTTGGGGGTTTGATTTGGATCTCGGCCGGTGCAGTGGTGTTTAGTATTGATTCAATCACTGATTGTGGGGTGGTGCTTGCTTTGGTTTGTTGTCTGGCGCTTTGTAGCCTCCCTTTAAGTTCTTGCATTGTTGATAACATTATATCCATTTCGTTTGGGCATCCATTAGCCAATCCCATGCAGTTGTAGAATTCATTCCATAGTTGGTTGGCAATTGTTCGTAATTCATTCCCACCCTGTGTGGTACTGGATGCTTTCCACACTACATTGTACATTGGCTGTGCACACGCATTCTTAGTCCAACGGGGAACAATATAGCATCCTGGTATTTCTTCCACGCCTTCGTTCTTGAACACGGCTAACACATGCTTACATAATAGTCCTACTCTGTTGAATTTGTTACAATTGCATTGTGTTCTTTTAGTAGATTCTTCGTGCGTTACCTCAAATATTTGTTCCCCAGTGTCATGAACAGTGTACTTGGAACCCCCGTCGACATTTGTCTTGCAGGTGATTTTGCATGTGAAGCTTCCTTCCCATATTTCTTCCTGAAAGTCGTAGAATATGTTTTTGGTGTACGTTGCAGCGGCTTGGCGTTCTATGGCCAATGGGGTTTTAGTTTCAGGGAATGAACTTTCGCCCTCTGCGTTTAGCTGTTTTTGCTTGTACCTTTGTTCTCCGATGGCACGGTTGTATTGCATTATGAACTCTACCAAGCTGTTGTGGTGGTTGGTGAATTTGCCAAAATAACTGTTCTCTGATTCTGACCGTGATGTTGTTTTGAGTAGTCCGCCCATGAATATGTCTTGAAAATATGCAGGTATCCATGATGCACGGGCTTTGTACATTTGATCGAACCACCGGTGGTGGACAAGGTTGTACTCCTGCATTACCTCTGCCCATTTCAATTCGAATGCAGTTGCACTTAAAGTTTCATCCCATACTGTATTGTTCAGTGCCTTCCTGAAGTCCATGTTTTTTGCTAGTGCATTCCCTACCTTGTCCCCCACTTTTTCCATTATGTGCCACATACAGAATCGGTGCCTTGTTTCCGGCATAATGTTAGGTATTGCGACCTTTAATGCAGGGTCTTGATCTGTAATAACACAGCTTGGTGTATATCCCATCGCGGTTTTGAAGTTTTTTAGTAGCCACTAGTAGGAGTCAATGTCCTCTCTTGCAATGAGGCCTGCTCCGAATGTAATGCTCCGTTTATGGTTGTCGACTCCTGTAAACGGTACAAATACGAGCTTGTATCTGCATGGTTTATGTTGTAAAGTAATTAGTGCACACACATATAATAGTAAAAACAGCTTTGCAGGCAGGGAATTGTGCAAAACCACTCTGCCATGCACACAGGGTTTCAAACAAGTGCACACCACTCCTTGTACCCGGTTTAACAATTATTCCCAAGCACCCCTATTGTTAGTGTTATCAATAGTACCTCATGCTTATCACCCATGCAATCTGTATGTGCGCCGACTACCATGCTCTAGTCAAATGGATATTAATTTTAATTATAAGTCAAACGCATTCAATTCTGCTGTATAGATCCCTATGCATACAGTTTTACGAGGGCATGCACACAAACATTTTTATTAAAGTAAATTAATTTAATCGGTGTGTTATGTACCTGTTTGTGCTGTAGGTTGCGTCGAATGACATCACATCGCCAAAACATGCAAAATTTTTCCGGGATATTGTGTCTGCCCAAAAAAGCCTGCATAGCTCTCTGTCTTCGTTGAGATCAAAATCAAAGTAGAAGTCGGGTTCCATCTCTTTGTTTTTGTACATGTCCTCTACTACCATCTGTGCATCTGCTCCAGCAATATATGCCAACAAGTCCCTTCTAAAATTGCAGAAATCGGTGGATGTTGCTCCTATATCGGAAAAACTTCCAACCATTTCCTTGTATAACCTCCATGATTTTGTGGAACCAATGTTTGCCCTTGCACAGTTTGCTACGAATATCTTGTGTCCAATATCTAGCTTCCTATTTATTTTAAGAAATGGCCTACCAATGTCAGAGCATAGGCAGTGTGTGTGCCATAGCTCAAGTGCATGTATTTTGTAGCTACCGCTTTTGCGCCTTGTGAACCCTATTCGGGCGTTACAACCAACACGAGTTGATAGCCGACGCCTTTTCTTCGGTGAGGCGGTGGTTCCTTTGTCGCTACTACTCATTTTCTTGGGCTTGTATCCTTCCCGTGAACATAAAATATATTTTAAGTGAACTGCCCCTGCCCTGTTCCTTCGCTTCGTCCCGTGTCGGATATCGAATCCGGCGATTATTGCGTATGCCCCATAGAAGTCTACTCCGTTTTCTAGTGTTGCAAATTCTTGCCCAATATATGGGGTGTTTTCGCTGTTGCATTTAGGTAGCCACTGTTTTGTGCCATCGGGTAATACGACCATGTTGCACTCTGTTGCTTCGTCTCCATTGTGTTGTGCCCCTATAAATCAAAAATGGGATTTTTTGTGAAATAATATAACACTTGTATATCAAGGGCAGCACTGTTAATACTATGTACAATATAAGTGGAAAAAATATGTGTATGCACATGTGTCCAAACTGCAAATTCGCATGGTTCGCCGTCGTTTTTTCCCCCAAATTTCAGTTCACCAAATTCGAATGCCTACCTCACCACATCATGCGGATTATCATTTATTATAACACCCATTAAGTAGCACGCCATGCAGCATAATTTCTGCAATTTATGCTTTTCTTTTTTACTAGGTAAATAATGAAGAACACACACAGCGTGCTTTACCAGTGTACGTACCTGGGTCCAAAGCTTCCATAGAATCCGGTATGGCGTCGTATTGAATGGGGGCTGATCTGTCGTCCGTGGTCGGTCGTAGTTTTGTCCGTTCGTAATTGCTTGAATTTTCGGCCGGTATGGCGTCGTAGTTTAGTCCGTTCGTACAGAGGTTTTCCGGTGGCAGTGTTGGGTTGTCTTCAGATCCTACGCACTTTAAACTTCCTTTTTCGTATCGTAGCATGCCAGTCTATTCTATTCCGTTTCTGATTAGTATGCTGCCGGTTAAGAGGGGTGTGCATTCTCTATGTTACCCTTCTCATAAATAATTGGTGATCCGTGTGTTAGTAAGCTGCATTCATCTTGACCGTTGATCTAATCACATCTTGTGGCTAGAATATGTCCACACATTTGTATTTTAAGGGGGTTTGTATTGGAATGCATCCCTATATATATATATATATATATATATATATATATATATATATATATATATATATATATATATATAAAAGGTAGGGTTCCAGTGAGAACATGTGCTTAGGTGAGAGCATGAGAACACATCATGTGCATCCATCTAATATTTTTTAATGGTATAGATTAGATTAAGTGTGTGCGAACGCGCATTAAATGTGTGCAACCCCTAATATAATAGACAAGCTTTCAAGTTTTGGAGTGCTGATCTTAAAATTACTGATCCCTATGGAAATACAGCTTCTCAAGGTTAGGAATACTATATACAGTTCCATTAACATTATATTATGATTAAAAACAACTTGATTTAGAGAAAGCTAATGAAGTTTTTTTTAAAAAAAAACATTGTTAGATGAACTAATTGATGCAAAAAAAAAAAAAAAAATCATAATTCAAGTAATTTATTAGCAAAAGCAAATGGAGGAACATTTTTGCCCACAATGCTTGCTGATTACAAATATCTCGATCATGCTGAACAACTTAGAAAGCATTTCAACTTCCAACACAACCATTACTTACATTTTTAACTTGCACCAAAATTGAACCAATGGAGATTCACCAAGTTTGTGAAAGGCGAAACCAATGTTACCGGCCAGTCCATACGCATAGAATCATTGTCATTGTCCGTGCAGACAATATGTGAGTTTGAAGATGCATGAGGGAAGCATTCCAACATCCATTGGATTTATCTCACCACGGGGGCATTCGTACCCCAAAACTTCACGATAAATCTCTCTAGCGCAGGGGATTTTGAGAGAAACATTATTATAAAAATCAGTTCGAGTGTGGATTCACGGTATGATTTAATCTTGATTGTATTAAGCATCTTCAGCTGTCTTGAATAACAAAGCAACTCTCTGGATCCTCCAAAAGCCTTGAAACACCTTCTTTTTCATCCTCTTAAATTATAAAGTATTTTAATTATTGAGGTATAGATCGATTTTGTCTTGCTGTGAGAAAGCATTTAGGAAAATGTATGCTAGTTGAGGCTTGAATTTTGATATATCTCCTCTACAATCTCCAGGGTAAGAGTGGTGCTGAACTCTTAAGTTTGGAGTTCAAACTCATAGAAGTTGTTGAAATGCTTTTGGAGAATTCATAGAGTTGCATCATTAATCGGGATTAAAAAATGCTTAGCTCAATTATCAAGATTGAATCATTTAATGTAACCTCACTCAAAAATTACCTTTTGTGAAATTTCTGCTCTCAAAAGTCTCATGCTTCAAAGAAAGTTGTTATTAAAGAATCTTATAATATCATAGCCTTATATATATATATATATATATATATATATATATATATATGCATTATACTCTTACTCATCTTCTTCAAGTCTCTAGTCAGCAGTCATGCATCATTACTATATGAGGTTGCTTTTCAGATTTGGAAGCGCCATTAAACCTACTCCATGTGCTCTTATTGTATAGTTGGATGAAGTTCACTTTTAATAAATAAAAAAATCTTTATTTTTACTTCGTTTCCTAGAAATTATTATTATATCTTAATTTTACAATGGTGTTTAATGTATTGACTAAGTGATATATTCTTTGTATCATTTTATGTATCATGTTTATTATGCCGGAAATAAACACCATGTCTGCCTCCCAAGGCCAACATCGTAGCTACCACCGCCAACCTCATATCGGAAAACACCATCGATGCCGAGCCCGGGTCGGTGAAGCTCTCCAGAAACACATTCTCCATTGTTCATCTGCAACCATACAAAGTTCGAAAGCAAATGTGTGTGTTTTTTTAGGTCAAATGCATTTCAAAAATTGGTTTGGGTTTTTTATTAACAAAAAAAAAAAAAAAAAAATCCAAAAGCAAAGATGCATTTGGGAAATGTGTTAATTTACTAAAATTTGTCCATTTTTTTTTTCATTTTTTTCCATCACTTTCATATTTTTCCATTATGATCAATTTCCCTAATGTTATGTGGAAACATCTTATGTTTTTCTTGTGCCTCTACAAAAGCAGAAATTGTTTACATCTATCCTAATGAATATCCTTCAAAAGAAAGGCATTTTCAGTTAGTGGATATTAGAATCTATGGACTACACAATAAATAGCCTCTGTTTTGCTTGTTAATTATGGCAAACAATCTATGGACTACACAATACTTTGAACTCAATGCTATGAACTTATTCACAACTCTCCGAGCCCGAGTCGGCGAAGCTCTCCGAAAACACATTCTCCTTCGATTCATCTGATCTGCAAGCACAGAAGGTTAGGAACGCAAATATGTTTTTTTTTTTTTTTATAAATATGTCAAACGCTTTTCAATTTGGCAAAATAATACAAACTCATTTTATAAATGTGTGGGTATTTCGTCAAAATACCCCAAAGCCTAAAATGCGTTTGGTTAAAAATCCAAAAGCAAAAATGCATTTGAGAACTATGTTTAAGGTCCAGTCAAAGTTTTCCACAATGCTTGCTGATTAACAAAAGCAAATAGAGGAACATTCTTAATTGCCCCCAATGCTTGATGATTACAAATACTCCGATCATGCTGAACAACTTAGAAAACATTTCAACTTCCAACACTACCATTGCTTACATTTCTAAAGATTGAACCCATGGAGATTCACCAAGTTTTTGAAAGGCTAAACCAATTTTACCAGTACTCCATACCCATAGAATCACTGTCATTGTCCGTGAAGACAATATGTGCGTTTGAAGATGCACGAGGAAAGCATTCCAACTTCCTTTGGATTTTTCTCACCTCGGGGGCATTCATACCCCAAAACTTCACAATAAATCTCTCTAGGGCAGGAGATTTTGAGAGCAACATTATTATAAAGAGCATTTGGAGTGCGGAACAATTTGATTTAATCTTGATTGTGTTAAGCATCTTCAGCTCATGAATAACAAAGAAACTATCTGGATCCTCCAAAAGCCTTGAAGCATCTTCTTTGTCATCCTCCGAACCGAACTATAACTCAAGATGAAATGAAAGACAAACACAACAGTGAGGACATTTGAAAAAGCAAAACAAGAAGAATAAGACATGATTGCCAAATATATACTCCACCTCGTCCGTCGAAATACGTAGTTCACATAGGTTAGGACATTTTTTAAGAAATTGCATCACAACGGCAAGCTGCTTCCGACAACAAAAATTTAATCCATATAGCATCATCACTTGCAGATTTATTGCAGTTGGAAACATAGATGTATCCATACACTTGAAAAATAGCAATAAAGAAACAAAATTAACAACCACAAGAACTTTAACTAAGCCAAAAGGTAAAGAATTGTATCTATCCATCCATTTGCATAAAGTAAGGGGCAGATCCTCACCTCCAATGAAGAGTCACACAACCAAAGAGTCTTAATGGCTTTGAAATGCGGTGCCAACCATCTCGAGTCAACCACATCATCCATAGAATGAATAACATACAAGATTTCAAGCTTTGGAGTGCTAATCTCAAACTTATTGACCCCGCTACAAAGTTTGAAAGCCAACTTCTCAAGCTTAGGAATACTAATACTAGAGGCAATTCCATTAACACCGCGCTTAAATTCAACATGCAAGAACTCTAATGAAGTGACATTGGAAAATATATCACAAGCATTTACAGGCAAATTAATAAAGGAGCCACGGACTATCAGTTGCTTAATTGTCCTGCAAGAGAGTAAACAAAATGGTAGATGATATTGTGGCCCTGGATAATTATATAAAAATATGTTAAGTTCCTCCACACCATTTCTTGACAGAAAATGACACCACTTATCAAAATCAGTTTGCTGCGGCCAAGGATCATATGCACTGTCTATCTCTAGAGTAAATTTCTTAACAGGCCAAGCACGGAGAAACAGGATATTATTGATTATGTTCACGAGGGTTATATCTTCTTCATCATCATAGCACTGTTCAGCACTACACCAGAAATCCGAATCGAACACAAGCTGCCCATGCTGCAACCAAGCATCATTCCAGTGCCTTGAGAGCAGAGCCATTCTGGCGGCATCTCGGGTGGGCAAACACTCCAAAATTCTGTCTTTCACCTCTATCGGCAATTCACTTATTAAATCCCTATTTGCATCCTCCAGTACGGTTTTGAGTCGCCGACGTCGAGCCATTAAATTACAGAGATTGAGGGAAAAGTG